CCAAGATGGTTTATTTCTTAATCTTGCACTAAGTGTGGATTAGAAGGTGCCATATATGGTTATATGCTTGCAAAGTACTTTTTATAAGCCTCAGTACACTGCTGTTTACTGTGAAGCTTTATGGTTGAAAAGAAACCCTTGTCTTATTCATAGTATGTATCCTAGGAGGAAAGTCTTTTTCAGCATTGAAGAAAGTAATGCTTTGGTGATGATTCCGTAGCTGAACATAATACCTAAGACCGGAAAGTGAGAATCCACGGACAATGTTCTCAGATAGCAGTGGTTCTCTATCTGTACTTTATGATTGGTAAGTTCATTAGCATTAAACATTAAATAAAAACTGAAGAATTGTATGCTTCATAGTAACTTTGAAAGATGAAAAATACCTGCTTTTTCATACCTTAATTGTTTGACTTTTGAGAACATACTTTATCAAAATGTTATGGACTTGTAGCATCTTTTGTCCCCTGGCCATAAAGCAGACATACTCTCCAACTGATTCACAATTTTAATAAATATTTTGTGCGTCTGAGAACCTTGCTCTAATAAATGCATTAACTCCACCAAAAGAGAAATACAATCCACAGAATTAAATACTTATAACTTAAATGACTTTGCAAGATAAGTCATTCAACAACAGTTGCAATTCAGTGCAAGCAGCAGACTGTTGGGTGAAAACTATTTTTCTGATTTAAGATCAAGAGCTTAAGAACAAGACGTGTTTAAGGATGAATGACGTACATGAATGTGATCCCACATAAGTTCAGGACAATTACTGCTTATGCAGCTAAAAGCCTCAAACCAACAAAGGATATTTTACTTGTACATTATATTCATTGCCCAATTTTTAATTTAAATGCCTATGTACAAAATACTGTTCCTCCTGATTTATATTCGTCAAACAGGGCATTGTGCCGTCTAGATTCTACTATTGAGTTAGTCATTGAAATCTAGATCACAGGCATGCAATGCTGCAAATCCTAGAGATTACTGGAGACAGAAAGTTAAGAAATCATTGAAACTCAAATGCTTTTATAATTGGCCACTGTGACACAAATAGACTGTACCTTGGGAATGACTCATGAATACTTAAATCCACATTTTTGTGGTAGGAAGACTAAGACTATGCAGTTTGTGTTTTCTTGATGTGCCAAGTGAGCAACTCAAGCGTGGATTGGAGAGTATATTGGCTTTGATATTGGCCTTCCACCAAATCAGTTTTCCAAAATAGTTGGCACGTTCAACACCACTCTATGCACATTTGTGCCAGCATTCATCTCTAAGGAATAAGCAGTACCAATGATGCTTAGGTGGGCTTTATGTACCTGTCCAATGGTTGAGTTTCCACTCCATGATTGGACAAGGTCAGGACAGCGATGGCCTTGTGGAGAGCGCCAACTGGATTTTCTAACCATCTAACAGCGAATTAGCTGCTATCAGAGCTTCTGTTGTTTTAAGGGGTGAGACCCTGCCTTTAAGAACAGCCAGACAAATTGGAGGTTTCCAGCAGAACCACCACAACTGAGAGGCTCTGTCCTCATCAAGCCTTGAGGAAAGCTACTCGGGTTCAGCAGGCAGTCTCCCCATGTGGTGGAGGGCCCACCTGCCAATGGCAGACTGCAGACAAAGGCATTAGCAACACAAGTGGCACAGTTTACCTCTGGGCAAGAAGGCCAGCCTCCACCTTCTTTGCCATTAGTAATTGTCCTATCGGTGGGAAGACGTGAGACACGCCAACATTGACTTCGCTTCTGATTCCACCCCACCTCAACCCTGCACTCCACCCGCACTCCACCCACACCCCACCCTGCTCCTACAAACTCCATGAAACTATCCCAAGTCTACAAAGATTTGCCTTTTTTAAAAAATCTAGCCATTCTGCTGTTGCAACTATCTGCAAATGCCACATTGAGAATGCCAGAGTGTGATTTTCCCTTTTTTAAGAATATATTTAAACTTGACGAAATATTAAGTTTATTAAATATTAAACCTGACCTCTGTATTACTAAGTATTAGTGTTCTTGTTTCAATTTGCAAAGTATTTGTTGAATTTCTTGATATTTGTTGAACAGTCTTAGATTTATGGAAAGAAGTAAGATTAAATAATGCTGGAAATGCACAAATACCATTCAATCTGTATGTGATAGATAAAGGCAAGCCAGAGTTCTAAAACTACTAAAATAAAAGCTAAACAATCTCATTTAACATGCAATTTCTGGAGATAAATTTCATGCAAATAAACATATTCACCACACAAACACTAGCAAATAACCTAAATATCACGTAGCAACAAATCAAGTTGGCTAAAAGGGAAATTAGTACTGACTAACACTGACAGGGTCTCAGCGCATTAACATCTATTTTTAGAGGCATTGTGGTAGAACTCAACCTTGAATAATCATGTAAAATGGGATAATAGTGAGTCGGCAAGCCATTTTACATCTCTTTCAACTTTAGTTTCTCCAAATTTAAGTCAAAATAGTCTACCAGCTCATGATCACCTACTTTACATTATTGCACAAAGTTTAGGTGAACCCTATTGACATCAGACATCTTTATATATAGCAATAGCAGACATAGGATAAGAAATTCTGTGTAATTTCTGGAGGCTGTGATTCTGTTAACATAAATTACTGCACCTTAAAAATAAAATAGAGAATTTCTTAATTATTGAATTTTAATTTTAAAGTTAACTACTGACAGTCTTTGACACTGAAGTCCTTTCTATAGTTAGTTTATAACTCTACCTGTTACCAAACAGGGAAAAAATGTTAACACTATGATGAAATAAGAAAATTATCAACCAGAAATTTTTCATTTTTTCTCAACATTTTGCAACCATATATTCTAATTTCCAGGCCAATTATATGTCATTAACTTTCAGAAAGCATTGTATGTCCCCAGTGAGTTTAGTCATGTTTACATGACCAAAAATAGCTCAACTAAATGAAGCTTTTTTTTTGCAGTTTCCACGCTGCAGGGAGCTTCTTGGTTTATGAAGTTCAAATGTTCTGCCAGCAGTGTGAGGTTGGAAACTGACCCCTAATATGTTAAGACATGTAGCAACACACATGAGGTGTCCTCAACTGCCAATGACCTAGTAAGATGGCATGGTGCAATTTCACAAATACCTTTATATCAACATTCCAATGTTTCAGTAATGAAAAAAGATGAAAACTGATGTAAAATGAGAAAATGTTGGTAACACACAGCAGATCTGTCCATATTTAAAATGCACTGGAAACAACATTAGCCAGTCTTTTCTCTTTCTAACATCTGAGTATTTCCAGAAATTTCTGTTTTTACTTTTCAAAGTCCTATTTTATTCCTATTGAACTACAGCTCAATAGGGAATACATTAATCATTTACATACATCTTCAGATTGCAATATTACTTGACCCTGTCAATGTCAGCTAATATAATATTATGACGACCATATTTACAAATTATGTTGGCAACAAGTGTTAAGAAATGAGCACCACAGGTATTGAAATATTAGTCCTATATTGTGTAATAAGGTTGAATAATCAAATGAGTTAATCTAGTGTGTAGTGGAAAATTAACTGGGCAGAAAAGGTAAGTAAAGTGATATTCTTGATAAACTAGGGAAGCATTCGATCGTGTTCAGGAAAAAAAGAGAAGTTTGTTTTGATTAGCATTGGACTGAATCAGTCAGCAATGAAATATTATTTCATGGAGTTATTTAAATGGTTAATATATTTCTAATGGTAATTTGTTAAGCTAAATGTTTGTTATATGAGTGAATTTGCAAAATGTTGTTTGATTATATCACCTTGCTTCCTAAATTCAGCTACTCAATATTGAGCATTAAATATATAGCACATTGTAAAAAAGTAAAATAAAAATGTTATTCACTGAATTACTATTTCTATCAGCTATTCTAGCATTTTTCCTTTCACTTTTCCCTCTTCCTCTCATGAATGTATTGGCTGCTTGATGTATGATACAGGCTGTCATTATCTCTTTTCAGTGACCATTATTCATCTTAAAGTCTTGACACTATGTCTCTGCCCTCTCAATGTTGGAGATCAGAGGCACTCCAAGCCTTCAGGTATCATTTCCATGGAGAGGTTGAGCTGTGTAGAGGAGCAGCTGAATCCTAGTTGAAAATTGGACCAATGGAGGTGTCACTGCAGCCCACACTAAGTATGTGGGCCACTCTGCTGGCCAGTACTATATTGTTCTTTATGAGGTACAGCAAATGGTGAGCCAAATGCTGGTGTATGTAAAGATTTAAAATGGATCCTGTAAAATGCACAGTGCACTCTGCCATATTGAGAGTTTAATGGAAAAACATATGCTACATGGTCAGATTTTCTGAGTCATTAGGAATTAACTCTGTTTCAAACCAGTTTCTCTCAGACTTTGACTTTTGCCTTCGGTTGCAGCTCCTGCCTTTCTTTTTCTTGATTTCCACGTTATTCCAGGCTCCCACTCTCTGGTATTAAAAGTAAATATTTTGACACCAGCTTTGGCTTTGACAGATTTGAATATCCTGAACTGCATAACAACACTACTCATTATATGTGAGCAGTATTACCATTAAATAACATTACAAGCAATTTGAGACCTTTAAATCTGTATACTATGGGTGATTCATTGAATCAGGGTATTTAATAAATGCAGTTGACTAAGTGTCAAATCTTTATCCCAGATGGTATTTAATTAGGACATGCTGCAGTTTTCTAGGTTCATTTCCAGAGACAGGTGTTCTTTTAAAAAAAAGTTTCCATTCTGTGTTTGCACATTATGCAGCTTGTTTGCAGTTTTTTGTCAAACTTATTAGTTTAAATCCCAAAGCAAACACCATAACTGATATGTTTTCGTGCCACTTTTTTTTTGAATAAACCTCCAGTGATTTTCACCAGGTGAGATATCAAACAAAATGGATATGGTTCGATTGACTTACTAACTTCTAGACACTGTTAATGATATACACAACATCCATTAATTTCTGAATAAATCTGTTGAATCCTTATTACACGGAACTTCTTCTTTTCATTAGCCCTCTGACAGCAGACAAACTGTGGAGTCCTGTAGACACGGAGCTAATCGTAGATCTGTGCAAATTACACACACAACCATTTGAAAAATTTTCAGGAAGCCTATTGGGAGATGCATCACTCTGTTCGATGCAAGTGTTGGATGTGGATATATCTCTGGGGATGATCATAGGAATTGAATAATGCAACTTCTCGCGACTCTTATACCAGAGACACGAACACATGGAGTGAAAATGAAGAACCTCTGCATACATGTTGCGGAAGTTGCCTGAAGTTTCTGTTGTACGGATGGTACTTTGTCCATTTCTTATCAGCAAGGCTTTCTGCTCTGCATCTCGTTTTTCATCTTCTGCATTCATCGTCATGAACCTCAGAACTACCAGGTTTAGGAATGCTCCAATTACTGTGAGGCCTGTCAAAATATAGACAAAGCTAAATGCCACATAGTGAGGGTTCTTTTGAAGAGCATCATGCTTCTGTAGAGCCACATAGTCCCCAAAACCGATGGTCGTGAGTGTGATGAAGCAATAGTAATAAGCATGGAAAAATGTCCATTCCTCATAATATGAGAATGCAGCAGCCCCAATACACAGGGTGCTAATGCAGGAGAAAAATCCAATGATGACCATGTTTGCCATGGAGACCTCTGTTCGTTTCATCCTTAGGCACTTCTTGATTCTGTGTAAGAGATACTTGACAAATGTATTGATTCGCTCTCCCATGCTTTGAAACATGACCAGGGTGAGTGGGATTCCAAGCAGAGCGTAAAACATGCAGAAAATTTTCCCTCCATCAGTGCTGGGAGCAGCATGGCCATACCCTGCCAAAGAAAAATGTACATCATCATTCATTTGGTCTATGTGGGACTCAATGTCAATAAAGCTCATTTTGTTACAGTAATCAGGAATTGCATTAAAGTATCCAATTGCATGACTGCTGCAAACCAGTCTTTTCAATAATATTAGATCAGATATATTTTCTCTGAAGCTGTCATTGAACAATTTGGTGAGTGCAATGCAGGGAAAACCCTTTTTTTTCACATGTCACACTCCTGCTAGCATACCAAACAACTATTTCAGGTTGAATAGATGCCAACTGCTACAATTTGGAAGAGAAAAATACAGTGAACACTGCAGGTTAGGAAAAAGCAGTGGAAAATGTGCAGCAGGTCGACAGCATCTGTGGAGAGAGAAACAGAGTTAATGTATTAGGTCAATAAGCTTTCACCAGAACTGTGAGTCCTCAGAGATGTAAGAGTTTTCAAGCAAGACAGATAACTAGGTGAGGGAAGGGGAATGAAGAAAGGGAAATTCCTGTCATAGAATGGAAGGCAAGCAAGATTAATTGACAAATGAAATGATAGTGCAAAGAAAAATGTATAGTAATTTGACAAGTTAAAAATAAATGAAAGTAGCGTAAATGAGAAAAGCAGAATTCATACCAATAGCTGCCATCTAAAATACGAGGATAGATAGGGAATTTACAGAAGACTGTAAGAAGCCTCATTGAAAGATGAAGTGCTTTTTTCTAGAAGTTGAACTGAACATCCTTGTAACATTGATGAAGCCAAGGACAGGAAGATCAGATTGGAATGGAGCAAAGAATTAAAATCACAGACAACGAAATGCTCAAGAATATAATTGTGCAATGAATGGAGATGTTCTGCGAAACAGTTGCAAAAGATATATTCAGTGTCCCCATTGTAAAGAAGACAGTAATATGAGCAGTAAAGGCAGTACAGTATGTTGATTGAAATACAATCAAATCTCTGATTCAAAACAAAGGGTACATGGGATTTTGCATGTGAAGTCAGGGGAGGTGATTGAATAGATTCTGGCAGGGTGTCAGCTAGGAGATAGAAGGCTGGTTCTGGTTTTGGGGGGTGCTTCAGAATCTGAGGTATGTGGTGGTCTTGAGCAATGCGTAGTGGAGGTGAGGTAAGTATGGGGTATGGTGAACTGCACATTGCTCAACGTGGGACCATCACATACGGGGAAGCCTCCAAAAGGTTTTAAACATTCCTCTTTATTCACCAACACCAAAATCAAACAGAAATGAAATAAGCAGGAGCTGCATTTGTCTCCAAGAACAGAAATGATCTGCTTGCATACTGAACACCAACAATTTTACAATCAGCGAATGATCACTGGACCCAGCTCTCATCTACTGGAACCGGGTGTCAATTAAACTCTGTCCGGCTTGTAGCGCTCAATGCCACTGAACTTCATCATATATAAGATGACATTTGTCCTACTCAATGTCTTCATCTTGCTTCTCAGAAGGCTGCACCTCCTCTCCCAGCTCATCAACTTCCATCAAGTCGGGAGAACATTCTGCCCTATGATCTCAATACCCAATTCAGGATCATGCCCAACAATGGCTTCTAGCACTCACAGCAGGAGGGCACCTCACCAGCACGGACCCCACTCTGAGCAGATGGTAACACCCAAGCAAGGATGTTTTATTTTCAATCACTTCTCAGTGAGTGCATGTTGATGGCAAGACCTGTATTTATTACCCATCCTAAATTATCCATGTGGTACCTTCGAATCATAGAATCCCTGCAGTGTGGAAACAGGCCCTTCAGCCCAACAAGTCCACACCGAACCTCATAGCATCCCACCCAGACCCATCCGCCTATAATTCACCTAATCTAAACGTCCCTGAACGGGCAATTTAGCGTGGCCAATCCACCTGGCCTGCACATTTTTGGACTGTGGGAGGAAACCGGAGCACCCGGAGGAAACCCACGCAGACACGGGGAGAATGTGCTAACTCCACACAGACAGTCACCTGAGTGTGGGATCAAACCCGGGTCCATGGCGCTGTGAGGCAGCAATGCTAACCACTGAGCCACTGTGCCGCCCCATATAGGATTTAGAATGGGAATTCCAGGATTCTGTCTGAATGACAATAAATGTACAGCTATAGTTCCAAGTCAGGAAGGTATGTGGCTTGGAGAGAAGCTTGCAGGTCGGGGATGGGTGGGTGGATTCTCATGCCTCTGGTTACGTTGTCCTACTTGGTAGCTAATTTTGTCAATTTTGAAGTTGCTTTCAAAGGAAATTGCTGCATTGTGTTTTATACATGGTAAATACTGCTGCTACAGAGTGCTAGTGGTGAATGGAATGAACGTTTAAGATGACAGATGGTGAGCTGATCAAGAGGATGATCCAGAAAGTATTTGGTTTCAAAGGTTGTTTATCGTAGAACATAGAATAGTACAACACAGGAACAGGCCCTTCAGCCCACCATGTCTGTGCTGACCATGATGTCATTCCATACTAGTCCCACCTGCCTGCATATTGTCGATATCCCTTTATTCCCTGTCTGTTCATGTGTCTACCTAAATGCCTCTTAAATGTTACTATTGTATCTGCTTCTGCCACCTCCCCGGCAGGTGTCACCTTCTGTGTAAGAGAGTTGCCTCACGCATCTCTTTTAAACTTTCCCCCTCTCAACTAAAACTTATATCCCTGCTATTTAACATTTCCACCCTGGATAAAAGACTCCAACTATCCACCCTATCCATGCCTCTCATAACTTTATATACTTCTATCAGGTTGCCCCTCAGCCTCCCACGCTCTAGTTGAAACAATTCCAGTTTGTCCAACTTATTCTTATAACTTATAATTATCTTTATAATTAATAAACTCCAGTCCTGGCAACATCCTGGTAAACCTTTTTTGCATCCTCTCCAATGCTTCCATATCCTTCCCATAGTGCAGTGACCTCAACTGTACACAATACTCCAAATATGACCTAATTAAAGTTTCATACAGTTGCAACATAACTTGTCAACTTTAATACTCAATGCCCCAACCAATGAAGGCAAGCATGTCGTACCCAGCCTTAACCACCTTATCCACTTGTGTTACCATTTTAAGGGAGCTACAAACTTGCACCCCAAGATCCGTCTGTGTATCAATGCTCCTAAGGACCCTTCTGTTTACTGTATATGTTAAATCAAAACCCAATTAATTTATTTAAGATGTAAAAGATTGTATGGTAATATTTAAAAAGAGTGGGGATTGTGCCACTGACCAACATCTTTTTCTTAACCAGCGTTATTAAAAAAAGAACTCACATTCATCTCATATGCTGCTTCTGTGGTGAAAACATGTAACTGCATGTCATGTGTAATTCATTGGCTGTAAAGCACTTTGGGACAAGCTAATGGACAATGTGAAAAGTGTCGTATAATGCAAGTTCATTTGTTCTCTTGCCTGTGACAATTCCTTGCATATAAATATTCAGTTGTAGCAGAAACCATCACTCTATTGTCCAGCATTGCTGGAGGGAATTGCCTCCAAAAAGAAACAGTTTGCCTGGAGTTACTTCAAAAGCTTCTGTTCTCTGAGCCAGGATTCTGAGATGACTGCTTGCATTGTAATCATTTCCAACTACAACCTGTTGTAATGCCATCATAGTAAGTAAAACAATATTAAGTTATGTAGTTCATAAAAATTATAGGGAAATAAATTAATAATCATTCTAAGAGTAAAAACCCAGCCGTGGGCAATGATGTTTATTCCACAAGCAAGAAAGGATAGATAACCTTCGTGAGTTTTGAAGTATATACTTACATCCATAATTCTACAATTAATAGCAATTTGTACAAGTTATTTTTCAAAGCAACTTCGTGAATATCTAAGTTATATTAAAAACAGATTCTCTTAAGTAGATATGGCAAATTGCTGCCCATCCATCTCAGCAAATGAATGGTCACTAACTTGACAACTTGTATAATGAACATAATAAATTACATTTATGGGGTTATCCTGGATGGAGTGGGTATGGGAAAAAGTAAAATTATCTCTTCATGATTCAAAATGAAGATAAAAAGAAGAAGGTGATTTATAACATTTCTGTTGTTCTATTTCCATAACGTGGCCAAATTCATGCTTTTCTCGTATATAAGTAAACCTATCTATCAGGGAATGGATAAATAGCTATTGAGGCATTATGTATTATGCACCAGTATATACAGGTCTCTTGTGTACTTGAAGGATTTACAATTTCAGGGAAAATATTGTTGGGCCAGGATACACAAAGATAGCCAAAAGGAGGGCAGCAATCATGATGGGCAGTCAACCCCTGCCCATTGTTACTGATGCAGGCAGCATGCAATCTTCTTGCTACCCATTGATTTAGATAATTGCAGCGTGATGACTGCACCAAGCCCAGAGGTAAACAGCCGCACCCTTGAGGATAGGTCACAAAATCATGAAAGGCTAGCAACGGTTTCAGTTAACCTGTACTGCTTAAAACCAATCTACACCTCTTAAAGGGGGATGCATTTTGATTACAGCAGTGCTGAAAGTCATTTTGAAAGTGAGTTTGACTGGGAACAGACATAACGATGGTATGAAAGCAGTTATGCAGATTTTCCAAAATCAAATTGGAGACCTGGTGCAGGGGACAAAGCAAAGGAAATATGTACTTTATCCAAACAGGATGCCTAAACAGATGTTGCAAAGACACTGGGACTGGTTAGTGCAAGGAGTCCAAGGCCAAAGACCTGGATGCAACATCAATGACCTCATGATCAATGAATGTTTATTTAAATCACCTGCACCATAAATCACAGCCACTGGTCGGTGCAAACCTACCAACAACGTCTATCAATCAGGACTCAGACATAAAGTTTGTAGCTTCACTTCACCTTCATGACTTTGGAACTGCTGAAGGTCTCACACTCATATCTGACAATTCGTACACAATGCCAGCTATTCCACCATGATAGACTGATTATCCAAGCACATTGTGCCGGACTCATTGACACATTTCCTTCTCTCCTGCAACACAAGGTATTTCATT